GTCTTCTTAAAGGTATCCTTTTCCCAAACTCATTGTTAAGTGCAATAGAAAAAAATTATTAAACATGAAAAAAAGGTAAACTGCTTTCAAATAGCTTAGTTACAGCCATATTTTATAGAATCTTAATTATATTCTTTCCTAGCAATTTTTTTTTTTTTTTTTTGTAGATGTGTGAGAAAGATTTCAACGGTTATAATTTAAATTATAACACTTAAGTCAATTTTAAAATATACAGATAATCTTTCTCATCTATGCTGTGATTTAAACTTTTAACACAATTTTAATGTGTAAAAATTCTCTTTTTAAAGAAAATTATTTTCTATGATTGATGCTTATGTAATGGCTACAAATTGTGACTTGTATTTATTACTTACTTCCAAGGAGTTCTATTTTATGCTTTTATAAAAAATGTTTTACGTTTCAGAAAAACAAGTTAAATATAATTTCAATTAAGTTATTTTTGGGAGGATATATATATCTCAGATGATGGCTGAAAATTACATGATTTGTTTTGTTAATATTTGTATTGAATATCAATCAAATTTTTCATACAAAGCTGATGCAACCATTTGATTTCTTCAAATTTTTTGTATTAAAGTTGATGTTTGATTTAATAAAATAAAGGCGATATCAGTGTGAATTGATTTCTTTCTGCAAAAAAATATAATAAAAGATTTTTTTTTGAAATTCTTATTTATGATTTATACCATACTAAGAAGCTTTTTTTAAAATAAAAACTTTTCTGCAATTTACTAAGTAATTGCACAATTATTGTTTTGTTTTTTTTTAAAGTCAATATTTGTTACATGGATTCCCTTTTGTTTACTAAAAATTCCATTGTTAGTTAATAATGCTGATTAACGCTTCGTTTACTCAAAAAAATGAAAGGTAAGTATTCATTACCTATTCTTCAAAACCATCAAGCAAAAGCTTCATCATACTCTGGGTCCATATATCTAAAGACGTTTGCAAAAAAAATGTGATAGAACTGGAATGGAATCATTGTTTCAGATAGTTTGATTTATTTTAAGGACAACTGCTGTGTTGAAAGCTGTATGGAATGGAATAAGAAGTTATTGAAGTAGGCTATAAACATGTGCAAGATAAGCAAAAAAACTATTTTGACTTAAAAATTGTACAATAATTATGTAAGAAATACCAAGTACTACAAATTTTCTTAATGTCAACAATTTTAATTCCAATCCCAACTGCTGAACTAAAATCATAGAATCATTTCATTTTTTGTTAAATTTCTGTTTATTTCCCGATTTTTCTTTTTTCCAATTTGTAGGCAAATTGAAAATGGCTTGTAATTAAAAATTATTCGGCATATTTTTTTCAATTATATTCTAAGTAATATTTTTCACAATTAATGATGTTGAGGATTATTTTATTGTTTAGAAAATGTCATTTGTGGAATATATAATCAATCTGTTCGTTTTTCTGAATAATTGTTCTGTATTATATTACTTACATTTTCATTTTTAAAAAAATAGTTTTTCAACTATAGAATGATATTACGACTTATTGCACTAACTCAATAACAATGGTCCTTTTCTGAGGAGAACACATTGTCACATTCTAGAAACATTATCTTTCTTCTACATATTTTTGGGTCTCTATCATTCATATTCAGTGCAATAAAAATATAATGGGGAGGAGGGGTTATTCGGCATCAAGATTCTCTAAATAAAACTGGCACATAATACCAACTGCAATTAACTTTTTTGTAATTATCACAGGTATCTTGTAAATTGAGGAAAATTCAAATTTTTGAACGGCAGATTATTTCTTAGAATATTTTGTAATTCTTTATTAACTTTGTACAATTAGTGGATATTCAGAGTGCAAATTTGTTGATAGTTGGTAATTAATGTTGAAGCTCATTGTCTTTGAAAAATAACATTTGTGTAATATCTATTCAATGTATGATACATTGAAGAAAACCTCTTAACTGCAGAAAAACGTTAATTGTTGCCCATAAAGTTATTTTTCCTCCATTATTTGACATTTGTTCACTTAATAGTTTGACATTGATTGTTTACTCATAGCCTAAGATGCCACTCTGTAATACTGTGTATTAAAAATCTGGAGAAATTATAATTGAACTGTATTTTTTTTTCACCAATTTGTTTAATTCAATTTAATTTTTCGAAAAGAAAAAGAAATTCCACATTTTTTTTTTTAAATTAATGACAAAAATTTTCTTTAAAAATAGTTTTAAAAAATTACTTTTTGATTAAATTGTTTTTATTTTTCATAAATGGGTACTTTCACTTCAAGAATGCTTCCCATGCCTGCACATGTGACCTATGACATCAGCACCAGCTAATCTTAATCATATTTAAATTGAGCTAAGTTTCTTTACATAACTTAGAATGATAATTAACGATTAGTACAGAGTCATATTGCACATCGAATTATTTAAAATATAATTCTTTTTCGTCTACTCCTTTTATTTAACTTAGATTTATTAATTGTTTATGTATTTTATTGTAACCGTGATGTATTTTTGTTTTGTATAACTATCAACTTCGATGCAAAATTTGTTCGTTTGTGTTCCATGTGGCTTCGTGCCTGTTTTTGTGTTAAATCTCTGTAAATTTGTAGTGAAATTAAAAGCTTTGTTAAAGAATTTAGAATGTGTCACTTAAGAGAATTTATAATTGGCTTACTCGAAATAGAATGAAAAGAACAGTTGATAATGTAAACAAATGCCACGTTTCAACAACCAATCAGGATCGAGATGACCACACTATGTCACCTGCAGGTATCCCATAATTGCAAAATGATTAGGTAATGACATTGCAATAAAAGCATGAGATAGAATGCATTTCAACATTTGCCAGGGCAAACGAAATTTGTATTATAAAATCTAAATCTGCTTGCGTTAATTTTTTTTTCCGTACATTTTCAAATGCTGAGCCTAGTTTAATTATTTTAAAAAAGTAAAATTTTTCGAAACAGGATAGATAATTTCTGTGGAAAATAAATAGAGACACAAATAGCTCCAAGAATAAAGTTAGTGTATTATTCAGTTATTATTGTAAATAGATATGTGAGGTTATTTTTATTTTTTTTTGTTTAAAATAAACTAAAATAATAAAAAATGTAAAGAAAAAATATTTGAGTTAATGTATGAATTTCTCGCCACTGAGCTTTTGAAGCTCTCTCTTTAACTTTTGAAGAGTAAAATGTTGTTTGATGGTCGACTTTTCAAACTATCCAGTTCATAGTTTTTATGTAAATTTTTTTGATCATTAATTATTACATCATCATTATTAACATTAGCTTATTAAATAATAATTCTTTTATCAATATTTTAAATAATTCTATCAGAAAAACAAACAGCGATAAAGTTAAAAAACTTAAAGAACAATATTTCTGAATCTAGTTTGATAATTTTTCCAAAAGGCACTGAATTCTCAATTTCTTAACGTATATTTTATGTGAATTTTTATTTTGACAAGAAATACAATCAACTATTTTGTATTAAAATGAAGAATTTGTTTCCAAAACATTTTAATTCAACACATACAAAACATTGTAACAAATAGAGAAGGATGATATACATCCACTCTTCTCTTAAGATTAAAACTGATTAACTTATTTTTTCTGTATTCAAGACATCGAGGAGTAAGCTCCAGAAACTCCAAATCAGGGAATGCACTCATTGTATGATATGTGTGCCATTCTCGTGTAGTCTGTGATCTATAAATTTCAGGGTGGCACCCATACTTGCAGTTAGGTGGTGATTGATTATCCATAGATTGGTGTTGATCGATGGACACTTGCTGTTCTTCTATTGCTTAACAATTATTGTTTAGAATTCAAAATAAATTACAATAAGTAAATCTAAACTCCTAATTATAACATAAAAATCATGCTTTAAAAAATAACTAATAATTAAATTGGTTTTAGCACCTTCTGTAGCCATTTACTTTTGATTGTTTCTGAACCATAATATTTCATGCAAACACACAAAATTTCCATCTAAGTGACAAATACAATGCTTGTAAAAGGTTAGCCCCCTTCTCCCCTACACATTAAGTCCACTCCACCATTTAAAAAAAAAAATAGAGGATCAACTTTTGCCCTGAAAAATACAGTATTTATTTAGACTGAGGTAGATAATTTTAGCTATTTTAAAAAATGTTTTTTGGAGGGTTAGTTTTTAATCAAGTTATCTTATAAAGATAAAATTTTATTGTAAATAACAGCAGTTTAGTTCGTTATAAATGCATCAGAACATTCTGGAAAATGAGTGTTAACACACAGCAGGAGTTTGTGTGAAGACTGCTGAATAAATATGGTGAGTTTTGTAGAGTTTATTAATTATAATAATTTAAAAAAAGTGTATTTATCCAAAAAAAATTTTAATCCCCTCCCACTTTCTGTTACTCTTGCATTGTTTATTTTGCATGCTACCATCAATCAGAATGTTTTTTTCTTATTTATTATTTGCTGTTTTTATTTTTTAAGAAAATTGTACAAAAATAAAAGGTAACACAGTAATTTCATCAGCCTTTTTATTTTTTGAGTTAAAATTAATTGGTTATTTGGTAAGTTATACCAATTTTTTACTGCAACTTAAGCTGGATGACATCTTTGACGATCTTATAAATATTAAAAAAAAAAAAAAATTCAACTGCATACTGCATTCAGATCAAATCAATTTCTCTGGTTATTATTTTTATTTATTTATTTATTTATTTTTTTTTTTTTGGAAAATGGTATATTCAAAAGAACACAGTTGCCTCAATATCGATTTTATTCTACTCGTTTACTTAGATTTCCAAGGGTTAACTTTTCATATTTTGCATTGAATATAGTATTTATATTGAATTTTTTAACTCAATATATATTTTATTCAACCACTCATTTCCAAAGGTTATTTCTAATTGAAGTTAATATATTTTTTATTAATTAATATTTTCGTTTTAGTTAAATTTATTCTGTGTATTTCTTGAAATTTATAACTAAACAATTTTTGCTTGCAGTTTATGACAATGATGAAGTTCTTATTCCAAAAAATACTTCAGTTCTAGTGGCTAGAATTCCTGTTCAAGGTGGAAGCAAAAAAAATTGGTAAACTTTTTCAGCAATTTTTATTAAACATTTTTAATGCCATAATTAAAAATAATGAACATGTACTATAATTTCCTATCTAATTTAGACTTAATTGCTAAATGCTTTGTTATCCTGCTTGAGTTATTAAATGCAATGCAATAGAACACCCTTTAGATCATTCAAAGAACTATTCCAAAAAAATAGAAATGCAAGTTTAGAGACATAGTAAAAATTTTAATTAACTCAAGCTCTGCTCATGTCCAGACAGGATGTATGAAAATCATTGAAACTAACGTATGAGTGAATTGATAAACTAGATATCACAAAATAGAATAAAACATTGACACAAATAATTCCAGTAAAATAATTATAAAATTAATTCGAGCAATGATCTTTAACAAAAACCACCAAAATAAAAGGGTTCTTTTGCGTTTAACTCAATAGCTATCTAATTATTTAAAATGATGTAACAGAGATAATGTATTATTTTTTTCTGGAGAAATGAAAATGGCATTTATGTGTTTGACAAAAATTCATTGTTGTTGACAGATTTCTTTACTCTTGGCTAATTTTTTGTTATCAAATTTAATGAAATCAGATTTTTAATGCCTTTACTTGATTAATAATTTTCTCTTGGAAAGTATTTTTCAGTTTGCATGATATCTTTTAAGGAGTTTTAATGAAATGAAAAATATAATTACTGGATCTAGATATCACTTTCATTTAGTCTTGAAGCTGTTTAGTCAGTATCTTTGGTGCTTCACAAAAAAGTCAAAGCAGTTACTCTTTAATCCATTTTTCAGTTTTCTTCAAGAAATTTCATTGCTCATGCACTTCCCATCATGCCTTGATGTGCCTTAAAAGAAAAAAAAATTTCTTCTTTTAGTCATTTTTAGTTTTATTTTATCCTGCTTATGTTCAGAAATAAAAACTATTCATTTCTTTCATTTTGCATTGTATTCATGTTTGAGTGTTGAAATTTAATCCGTGATAGTAAACATTAGCATTTAGGGGAAGGATTTGAGTCCATATTAATGAACCATCTCTGCTAAGAGGGGGCTATATTTTTTGTGAACCCTCCAATTCAGAAATTATTTCTTACGTGATTGTCTTTAAGCCTGCCTTAATTCTACTTTGTTCCTTCTCTGTGACTCCTATATTAGATTAAATGGAAAGATGGGCTTTTTTTACCATTGCAAATGTTAAGAGTTTGGTAACATGTTTGACAGTCTCCTCTCTGATACTATCTGCATTGATAACATTTGTCTTGTAAAGTTGTCTTGATATTCACATTGACATCCTCAAATGGTTAAAAAATTATTTATGTAGAAATCTGACTATGTTTCTTAGCATTTTATTGGGAAGTTTGTCATTGCAGTTGCCCGAGTCATTACTGGCCCTCAACTCTGCCTTCAACTCAAGCTTAATTTTCACATAACTTTCTGAGGCTTTTTCAAATAGATCATATTTGATCCTAATTGTTATCTAACTTGCATTCTCTTCCCTATATGCTAGTGTATACCTTGAGTGTCAGACCTAGTTTTAGGGTGCCTCTCATCAAACATATTGCACAATTCTCATTGTTCAAGTCTTTCAAAATTCTAAATTTCTTCTTTCTTTTTTTCAAGATACAAATTTAATTCTACTTAAATACAAAATAAGAACTACATTAGTATGATTTTTTCAACCTTAGTTAGTTACCAGATAGCAAAAAAGTCACAAACATTATAGTATCCATAATATCCAAATTAATTCTTAAACCAGAAAGGGATTTATGGCAGTAGTTTAGTACTAGTTTATTGTTATATGGCATTTATATTGAAAACATAATTGTTCCAACAATTAAAAATATAATTTATGATGAATGTTTAAATTTAAGTTTAAAATTTAACATAAACACTAAACAATTATCGTTTTACGGAATTCCTCAGAAAGCAAGTAGGCAATTAATCAATTTATAAAAATGCTTCTCAAAACAAAAGAAACATTGCATTTCTTAAGAAAAAGAAATCAATGTGAAACATTTAAATGGTGCTTCGCTTTGTAAGTTTTTTATTTAAATATTAAAATTTCATTGAACTTTTTACTTTAAATAGCCTACGAATCTGAGGAAGAAGAAAAATTATTTATGAACTATTCAATGACTGCATTTGTAAAAAACTTTCATTTAAATTCACACACGTACCGATAATTTGCATAAAGCAGTAAAAATAATATAACAACAGAGCTTATTCTAGGCAGGGTAAACAGGGCGCAGCACCCTGCTGCCCTTTTAGTCAAAAGAATCCACCCTGTTGCCCCTGAAGTAAATTAGTGCCCTGATGCATTAGACTCCGTACCCTTTCTTTCCTCGACCCTTCTTTATTTTTCCTCCAAACTCTACAATGGATTTTTAACTCTTTTTATTTAGTTTGTCATTACTGTCAATACATAGATTTATATGGGAAAGGAAAAATAGCCATCACACCCCCTTGTTGCACTTGTCTTTGAAAGTTTGCAGTTACTTCCACTATCATTAAATCATAACTACAGACACTAAAAACATACATTTATTATTTTATTAATATATGCATGCATTTTAAATAAATTACTAAGCTAATTAGCTCATAAACTCGATTTATATGTTAATTTATTACTCAAAATTAGAAATTAATATGATTGGTCTGCTACTTTTAGTAAAATAAAATAAAAATAGAACATTTCTTTTACTAATTGACAATGTTTTTTATAGAATGTGTTAACCCCATAGAAAGAAATGATTGCCCTTTTTTCTGCCTAGAATGAGCTCTGTAGTTTTATTCAATCATTATTTATTTACTATATCAATTTTTAAGTGTTTTTTGTTAAAATGAAGTTTTAAAATATATATATTTTTTTATTTTACAGGGATAAACCTGATCTTCCACTACCGATAGATGATGTAAGTAAAATACTTTATGAATTGGAGATTATTATTCAACAATTATTTGTTTTTCAACCTGCTATTTATTATTTTAAACAAATGTAATATGGAAATCAATTTTTATTTCTTAATTTTCAGGATGACTTAGGGGGCCATATTCGTTATGATAAAATTGCTAAAGTAAGTTAACTCTTATAGTTATTAATTTAATTTAGATACATAGTATAGTTATTAGTTAGATTAAAATTCCCTTACAAATTTAATTAGTTAAAAATATTTTGATTAATTGTTCAGTTATTTTTAAGGAATTAATAAATTAAAGAATGTACAGTGTATGTTTAAATACTGAAGGGAAAAAAAAGCTTTGTGTATGCCTCCATCTTTGTTGAGATGTGGATAATTCCAATTAAAAAAGTGGACTCTGGTTTGAATACCTGAAAGCCTAAGTAATAAAAAAATTTTAAAAAAAAATAATAAAAAAAAAACTTGAACCCACTAAGAAAAGAACAATTGGGAAAGACATGTTCATGTGATTTGTAGAATATCAATTATTAGCTTCGTTTGGAATTTTTGTGTAAAAAATGTGCTCAATTGGAAGAAGGACAATAATATGGCTTGGTGTTTTATCCATTATTTATGGACAAAACACCATGTCTGCTGAACTTTTCAATATTTCTGTATAAAATATGGTTGCCATCCTTGACCTCAACCTTCGTTGTGCTACTTTTTTAATCTGCCATTTTTACTTTTTGCTGTTATGAGAACATTACCTATAATTAGGCAATGTGCTAATGTTTGTTTCCACTTTAATTTTATTTTATTCTAATTATTTTTAGAGTGCGGATTTACTAAACGCAAATACATCTGAAGAAGACAAGGTCAAGGCGATGATCACACAATCATCTGTCGAATATGATCCATCTAAGTAAGTATTTAATGTTAAATTTATTAGAATACTTGTGAAACACAAAAAATAAGCATTTGTTGGTTTAAAACTATTTTGTTATTAAACATTCTGAAATATTTAAAAAGCGTAACTTTGTAACTAGTTTAAATGTTGATAAATACTTAAGCAACTGCCAATATTGTTGTATATTATAGCCCTCTTCTTTTTCTTTAAATGAATATTTTATTGGTTTTTCTTATTAGCCATGTACGTATCTTAGCTTTCCCAATCTGGTTACTTTGAAGTTGAAATATTTTGTGGAAGAGCATGTTAACTTGTTGTATTGAAAAAATATTGATTTATTTCTTAAATTTTTAGATAAAGTTGCTAAATTTTAAAAAGCTTTCTAATGTTTCTGCACATTATATCTGAAAAATTTTGTATGTGTTCTAGTTTGAATTGTAATTCAACATGCTCGCCCACAAAGGTATTCAATTATTTTCTTAACATTTGAAAGGTGTTTTTTTGATCGAATTTTCTAAATGGCTTACCGTATTGTGTCATTTTCCATCAATTACAAGTTTTTGGAAAGTCTTTGAATATATTGTTTAAGTTAGCAACCAGTAATTGTGGTTAAAGTTAAAAAAATATTGAGCGTCTTGATAAAATAAAGAATTTTTAAGTGACAGTTTGATTTTATTTTCATTTTAACTAGATACATGAAGAGCCGTAGTATGACAGGACCACTTCCCCCTGCTTATATGTGTTATCGATGTGGCAAATCCGGTCATTGGATAAAAAATTGTCCCACTAACAATGTAAGGATCATTTTGTATAAGTTTTGTTCTGTTATTTTATTTTTATGTTTCAAATTAATAACAAAAATTTGGTTCAATTTATTTTATTATAGCCGGATGTGAAACGTAGTACAGGAATCCCTCGTAGTTTTATGGTTCCTGTAGATGGTCCTGAACACAAAGGGGCTCTTCTTACGAGTTCGGGTGAATTCGCTGTTCCATTAATTGATCAGTAAGTTTTCCCTACTGCTTTGTTTCATGTTTGAATCGTATTTTAGCCACAGATTTCATTATAAAATAAACTCTTTCCAAAAACTTGATTTGCATAAACAAGGCATGTATTTATATAGAGGTTTTTTCTTGAAAAATAGTTTTTGAAACAACATATTTAACATTTTGAGTTTGTTTATAATATTATTACAATCTGCTGATTTTTAGTGTTGATTTCATCTCAAATCCGAAATTTTTTCAAAATGTGAGTGTTTGATTCTTTGTGGTAATAATCCTTTTATGTGAGACGTGAGAAAAAAATATGCGATTTTTCTCACGAAGTAGTGATATGCCTGATTCTTTTTCCATGATATCCTCTCTTTTTTCTTTTCTGTATTATAGAGGAAATTGAACTAAAATCTGAAGTTTGGTAAAAATCATAAGTTAGCAGAAAAGCAAAATTCCCATCCCTACATACTTTTTTTAACCCACTGACGGTTCTGCACATAAAAAGTTGAATTTTAAACTTCTGTTTTCACCGCATAGCAAAGCCAGTTTTTCTGTGTCATTAGATAGGGAAATGGACATTAAAAAAAAAAAAACATTCTTCTAATTTTACCCATTTGCTAAACTGTCAATTTATTAAAGGGAAAAGAGTTTTGTTTATTTTGATAGTTAAAAAGTGTCAGATAAAGATACTCGGTAAATGGACATGGGATATGGGACTTTGTACTGTGTATATATATATTATTTTTATGAGATACTTAGATTTAAAAAATTTTAATTTCTTATGGAAAGAGTTTTATAATATTTCTATGTCAAGAACCACCATGTTTAGTTTATTACTCTTGACGGTCCTGCAAGAGAGATGGCTTTCTAAATGATTCATTAAATAACAAAAATAGATTCGTGCCACCTTTTCTGTAAATGAGGTTGTAAAAAATGCTGAGACAAAAAAAATTAAGAAGTGCATTAGAGATTATTTTGGTTTTGTGTCCTTGCTAGAAGTTTAATATTTTTTTCATTTTCGAACTTCTTTTTATTAATTTATTTTAGCCAAGCATATAAAGAAGTGAAGAAAGAAAAGCCTCCTTTTGTGCCCCAGGATGATCCAGTTCCTGAACCAGAAGCTGAAATTCCAGAGGAACTACTATGTATGGTGTGCAAAGATCTGTTGCAGGATGCTGTTTTGATTCCATGTTGTGGAAATAGTTTTTGTGACGAATGTAAGTTTGTTTGGTTTTTTTTTCAAAAGTGTATGTTAATCTTTATACTTTTGATACCTAGGTCCTACCTTGAGATGTCTTTGTATAAAAATGAAACAGTTAGAATTAAAAAAGCTGTCTAAAATGAGATATAATTTTTTTTTTTTTTTCTGTTTATTCCTTGTTGTAAACTTAGTATCAATAATCTTACCTGTTAGCTCTTCAAAAAACAAGTGAAAAATAAATTAAGGAAGAAATTTCATTATAAACAACCATATTTAAGTTTTTATTTTGTACATAATTATTCTATTTCCTATTTGACAATCTTCTATTTTGAAATTAGAAATTCAATTAAAAATTTAATATTTAATTAACTAATATTTAATATATGTCTATTTAATATATAAGTCCATTATTTTATCTCCCTTGTTAATAAAAAAAAAACTCCTAAAATAACCTGTTTGTAAAGCAATTTTAATATTGTTTATAGTTAGCATAAAATGTTTTATTTTTCAAAAGCAATTTAAAAAAATTTTCTTTCACTTTTACAACTGTCAATATTTATAGTCAGCAATGTAATAAGTCATAATTTGTTTTGCAGATTTTTAATTGAGTTAATTATGAAATGAGTTGACCCTTATAATTCTCAAATCTCTTTTGCAGGTGTCCGTCAAGTACTTTTAGAATCAGATAATCACGAGTGTCCTGTTTGCCACGATATCGATGTTTCACCAAATACTTTGATTCCGAATCGTTTTCTGAGAACAGCTGTTTTGAATTTCAAGAATGAAACTGGTTACACTAGAGTAAAAAGGGCCGCTTTTATGAAGCCATCACCTATACCTGAGCGAAACTTATCTCCCCAACCTTCTCCAGATTCAACCGTAGAAAGTCAATCCCAGATGGAGACAACTTCTAGAGTGGAAATTAAAACTGAAATATTGGAACCAGAAAAGAAGACTTCTGAAACTGAAAATAAACCATTAGAGCAAGAAACTCCATCTACAGAAGGAGATGCTCTTAAAGTTGATACAGGTAGCATTGCTTCTGGAAATAGTGCTGAAAAACCTCGTACACCAGACTTAAAGCTAGATGATGAGTGAGTATTACAATTACTTGTATAATTAAATTTGTACAAAGGGTTATCTATAATCACTGGCTTTAATATATAATTCAGAGATTGTGCTTCGAAAAAAATCTGAATTTCCAGATTTTTCGCTACCCACGATCCGGAAGTTTCCAGAAATCCAAGGATCAGAAGTTTCAAGAAATCATAAATCACATTTATGTATAAAAATTCTTGTATATTTTATTTAAAAACATTAGAACTAACTGGCATCTCTTTCACTTGTAAATATCTTTTGTGTTGTAAATATTTTTTCTGTCCAAATAATTAATGTGATAAGAGATAAAAGTAAACTTATACATAATTATTCATTTTAATTATGCTCAATGTAATTTATTTAGAATTTCATTTTGTGAAAATATCAATGATTTAAATTTATAAAGACATAAATTTTTTGAAATGCGTCATTAATTATTTTACTCGAAAAATTTTCAGGATATTTGAGTTGGGCTCACAATCACCACTGATAATTTTAAAATCTTTTTTAAGTCAAAAAAAAAATCTTAAAGCATTATAAATTCATATTTTTTATAAAGGATGGAACACAAAACTACTGTGGAAAATGTCAGAAGTAAAAATAACTCAATTAATTGCTTGGGTAAATTGAAAGAAGAAAGGCTAAATTGGTTTTCACAATCACCACTGATAATTTTAAAATCTTTTTTAAGTCAAAAAAAAATCTTAAAGCATTATAAATTCATATTTTTTATAAAGGATGGAACAAAACTACTGTGGAAAATGTCAGAAGTAAAAATAACTCAATTAATTGCTTGGGTAAATTGAAAGAAGAAAGGCTAAATTGGTTTTTGTCAACGATTCCAAAAATATCTATTAAGGTGTATACATATTATAATTATGTATACTCCTTTGTAGCATCACTGGTTTTGTTGTAATGTTTCAAACTTCTATTAATGGGACTTTCATAATAGAAAACACTCTTGGTAGTACTTTGTGACTAAACTAATCACTTTCTGTGACTAAACTAATCACTTTCTGTGAGCAACGGATTAGAGTTGCTAAGTTCCACCTAGGAACTTAGCAATTCCTCCTTCACTCTGGAAACAAGGAAAACTCTCAGTGAAATTAGCCCTTAATTTTGAATTTTTTTATTAGTACACGGTAATAATTTTTTAGCAATATTGTTTACCATATTAATTTCAATGAACATAACAATACACACAATAAAGTGCTTTGATTCATTATTTTGCACTTTATGTATCAAATTGTATTTTTTTAAACATATTTAGTTATTATTGATTTTTCTTAACATCCATGTTATTATTTTCAGTTCATTTTTTATTTTAATAAATAATTTCAGTTTGAGTAAAAAAACAATTTTAATGTAAAAGAGTAACAATTTCAATTTTTTCTTCAGTATAAATTCTTACTGCATGTGTGTAAATGTTTTAATCACTTATAATTATGTTAGTTTTAGTCATAACAATTTGTGAAATATTTTGATTATACTCTGGAAATCTGAGGGAGAAATTTAATTTTTTCTGGGGAATGATAACCCCATAGTTAGCTAAGTTCTACTTATCCTCAAACTATTGTTTACATTGAGTTATGTAATGCCATATAAGTTTTAGGGAAAACTCTGTTCAAAAAATTAGAAGTAAAATAGTTAAGAATTTTTTTTTAACAAAATTATCTAACAACTTCATGTAAGTTTTGCTAGATGGTAAAATTCCATTCATAGAAAACTTTTATTAAAAAAAATCTTCATAGATGTTTTTGGCAAAAAAAACTTATTAAATTGTTAAAATATTAAAATTTATCACATAGTTAGTATCATTATCATTTTAAAGGAACTACAAATTTTTTTTAAAGCAATGTAAAAACAATATACTAATGACGGATATATCTTATTCTGTGTTTCTATTTGCCATCAGATTTCTATTGCATAGAAGAATGATTTTATTTCCTTGCCTGTATAAATGCATAACATTCTCAAACACAACAAAAACGATCAAATTTTTAATTCAAATTTTCTTCTGTGTAAAATTTGTACCATTTTTATTTTTCAATAAGTTTAATAGTATGAATAAAAACTGTTCTTTCTAAAAGCTTACAATATCAGAAGACTACTGCATACCTAGGCTATAAAAATTTTTTGCTTAAATTGCCAGTAGGGGCCTGTAAATATTGAAATGAGCGCTGTTAAATACTGATTTAGTGCACTCTCAAGTTTTGATGGTAAGCTGCAAAACCCCAACTGCGGCAAATAAACAGTGTCAAAAGAGATAAGAAGGGGGGAAAAGCACATTGCTTGCATTTCAGAAGAACTGTGAAAAAAAGAGAACCAGTGATTAATCAAATTAAAAACTACAATTGAATATATGAAGAAAAAAAGTAGGCATGTTTAACGACTAATCACTTAATACTTCTGAAAAGAATATTTTGTTTCTGAGAATAATACTCTGCATTTTACTTATTGAATTCTTGCTTATTCGTGGAAAACAACCCCATCAATGCTTATTTGTGTTTAATTATACTTCTTTGATAATAATATTTAATCTTTTTGATTCATACTTAACATAAAAGTGTTGATGTATATAATGTCAATGTCTTTTTTTTTTCCCCTTTTTAATAAAGGTATAGATTTTATATATTTGCTTTAATATGTATTCACAAGAAGATCTGTTGTGTGTTGCGAGTTTCATTCTAACATGTACCTTGGAAACTGTTTCCAGCTGGGCACATAAATTATGAGATTTTTCGAGCCCTTCTGCGTTTATGTATGTTATTCCAAGAAAGTTTATTATATTAACAAAGATTTTGAAATAAATCAAACTATTAGTTTATTGCGATAAACCATGAGAAATAAGCATTAACTATTTGAATATATTTTACAGCTCCTTCATTGTTTTTAAATGTTACTCAAATTTAATTTTACTATTTTTCCAGTTCTCAAAATATTTCTCAACCTGGAACACCATTGGCAGATGAACCTGCTGATAATGATGTAAGTGATAATAGGCCAATACAAGCCATTAATCAAGATCAATATACTAACAAAAGGAACTACGATTATCCCGGGCACTCGAGGTATGGCCGTGGCCATCGTGACAATTATCGGCGACATAAAGAAGATTCTCCTGAAGTTCGAGCTATCAGCACAATTGAGACTATTGGTACTACGCGAGGCAGATATGGAACAGTAAGTAAAAAGAACAATGACTACATTCATTTATAACAAAAATAAATTTTTTTTAAAATTATTGAAAGTGATCAATATAAAATAAATAGTTTTTTATTTTAGGAGTTGAGTTAATCATTTCTCTAGCGAATTTATTATTTTTTATCAATAAATATTCCAGGGATAAAAATTAAGAAAATTTTTTATATACATTATTCCTCAAAAAGGTTAATTTAAAAAAAATGAAAAAAAGTATAATGTAAAAATCTGTAATGTTCAAAATTATGATGGAAAATAATAATTTCGTTAAAAGCAGATCAAGACCAAAAAAACATGTTAACCCTTTTCATTGGTTGCTGGTCCAGAAAAGTCGTAATAATTTTATGGATGTCAGAGTTTAATTTAAAGCCCTGTATTCTTTTTTGCAGTGTTAAATTAACTTAAATAAATTTGTAGTTTAATATCTCTACTGATTAATTAATACAATTACTTGATATGTTTATGTGAAACAGTTTTTAATTATTAGTTTATTTTTTCAAGCAAATATTCAGGGCACTACTAAGTTGTGTTCATTACTTGATCAATTTCCTTGTTATCCAATTTTTAGTTAATTTGATCTGTTAAAATTTAATTAGATGATTTACATATTAAAGAAAAAAGAATTATCATGTTGCAATATGATAATAAAATATTTATTAAAAAAACATACTTTATTAAAAAATTTTAATAAACCACTGCAGAGGAATAACATTATTTACCTAATTAGTTAACCAATCAGTTAATTAACAAATTAGTTTATTAACTAATTAGTTTTCTGATTAATCCAAATCTTCTGAAGTTTATTTTCATTTTTAGTTAATATCTTAATAATAGATTATATTTTTTAAAATTGCTATTACATGAGATTATTAGACTAAAGTAGAATTGAAATAAAATTTTAATTGGGTTTTTTTATAGTTTAAATGCACAAAACATTGAATTATTTGTTATTTATTTTATGGAGAAAAAAAAATTTGAGCCGCCTTTAAAATGCTAATTTTATGTTTGCTTTTTCAGAGACCATTTCGGCAACATTTCACAAGTCAACGTGGTAAGTTTGGTTAATCATACATTTTATGTGTTATTTTAGTTAACATAATACAATTTTTTTTATTGTTACATTTTAATTATGTTTTAAATGATAGAGGTGATTAAGTAGCCATAAGCAAATGTTTATGGCTACTTGTATTAAAATATTAAAAACTGTATTTTGTAGATGTATAGTTTTTATTTCATGTCTTAAATAACTTTAAAAAATTAATGGTAGAAATAAGTAGTCAGCAAGGTTCCAAGTAAATTGGTCTAAAATCTTTTATTATTATTTTTTATAAAAATTCTACTGCTGCATTTTTAACTTTTCTGTATAAACTATTTTGGTTCTAAATTACAAGCAAGAAATATATAATAGATATAGCAATGTATATAACAATAAATTATTTTACATTGAGCTTTTACTTAAATTCTTTGCAAAATTTGCAGTTATCTTGGTTGATTTTATGCTTGTGTGTTGTAAAAATTCACATTAAAATTCGAGTTTAATGAAATTTTTTCTCACAAAACACTATATTTGACAAATTTTCTCTCAAAAAGTACATTTCCATGCTGATTGAATAAAAAAATTAATTTCTCCTAGTAGTGCTGTGGCATTTTAAAATTAAAATCAAACAATTAAAATAAATAATAAAAGAATATTTGTGAAATTGTTTGTAACTGGAAGTAGTGTGAGTATATAATGCAATGGAATTGCTGTAAAAATATCAAAAGAAAAGCAGAGGCAAAAACTCTCTAACAACCTAGAAAATAATTGATTGTTCACCTCTCCAATTTCAACTGAGGAATGTCTAGAATAGTGTGTGAATTGGATAAGTTTTCAGATTGCTGATAAAAATTTAAAAAAATTCAATTTTATATTTTGGATGCAATAAGTTCAACTCTATGAACTTATAAAAGCCAAATGAAATTTATAAAGTTGTGTTTGGGTTCTGATCCATAATGTCCAATCCTATAAATTAAAAGGGGAAATTTTGACTTGTCTTGTTATTGCACTGAGCTCCTATTTGTACGTGCTTAAGGGGTAATTTTTGAAAAAAAATGTTTGATATACCTATAATAAGATCATAACTATTTTTGCATTTAGTTATTGTAATTCTTTAGCTCAATAAACTTTTTATTTTATTTAGGTATTTTAAAAAAATATTTTTTTCTTTCTTAAATATTGATTATATTGCAGATGATAGAGGCGATTCTTATGGTCAAGATGAGGACTATCATGGCCGTTATGATAAAAGACATCATTCAGACAGAGGTGGTTCGCAGAAAACACATAACACCCATTATGACAGGCCACCAAGAATGTCAAGATACCATCCATCTGGGTAATTGCATCTTTTTTTTTTGGTAGTGTCTTAATTGCTGTTTTGCATTGAAACTAGGCTAACTAGTTTTTTGTCTTATACATGTTTTTTTTTTTATCATTATTATTATTTTAGTCAAATTTTTTAATGCTATAAAATATGTAGTATTTTTTTTTCCTTCAAAAGTATTAATGATTGCAAAACAATGGCCTGACTCAGTATAATCAGATTTTAGAGTGATTAGAATAAAAGACTGGCAGACCAGTTCAAAAAATAGTTTGTCTTTGAAAAATCTTCAGTAGAAAGCCTTGGCTCATCCTGAGTTGTCGTGTCAAATGTGATGATTAATAAACCTATTGAATATTAATAAATCTTTGCCGTTGTTCAAAAGTTTCTGTAATTTAAAATAAGATTCTTCAAAATTATTAGAAATAAAAGCAAAAGCATTTTTATCTTTTGTTGTGAGGGGTCCATGATTTTATTAATTAAACTGGTTTTATCAGTTTTCCATTTGATTAAGTAAGACTCTTGTATTGTAACCTGTTATAAAAACAGCAAACTCCTTATTATGTTGTGTTTATATATATATATAATCTAGTTTTTGAAGCGGATAACAGTTCATATTTCTATATTTTAAAAATATTTCTAAGTTTTTTTTTTTTTTTNTTTTTTTTTTTTTTTTTTTTTTTTTTTTTTTTTTTTTTTTTTTTTTTTTTTTTTTTTTTTTGTAAATTTTCTCTCAGTTTGAGAATACTTCTAGAACCTGGAGTTTTATTTTTTGTTTAAAATATGCACAAAAAAAAGATGTTTTCAAAATGTCATGATTTTTAGGAACTTTGCTTTATGCAGTGTACTTTTTGCTGATCTAATTATATTTTTAGAAATGTTCATCATTATTCTGAGAGTGATCATTCCCGCCATGATTCTCCGTACAACCTTCCTCGCCATAACGAAGAACCAATGCACAAGCATCAAGACAGATATAGGTCACCACCCCATTCTGTGCCTATTCCTGCTGCTTTGCCACCTCCAGTTTTCCCTCCTCCTCCTAGTGTTCCTTTACCTCCTCCAGCAGTTATTGCAGCTCCACCTGTATATCCCCCACAACCACCTCCACCAGGTATGCAATTTCCTTTTTTTCTTTCCATATATTTTTACTTTTTATTAATGATTCAAAATTCGTTAAGAAAAATAACTTTTAAGAAAAAAATAAAAAATATTCATAATTGAAAAGGGGATCTTTTTTATAATGTGAATAATCAGTTTTTAAAAATAATACTCCTGTTAACAACATTTATGCCCAAAATACATTGTAATTAAGAGCAATTTTTAAGGATTTACTTCAGTGTAATTCAGTTTACTATGATTTTCTTAGTTTTATTTCTTACATAGTATTTAAAGGGGTATCTGTGCATCTGGAAAGCTGTCGATTTCCACCTTGATCGAAATTTTGTCATGGAAACTCACAGCTCAAAATAGATTTCAGCCTTTAATAATGCCACACGATTTGCATTAACATGATTGAAAAATCACTTGTAGTTATTCATATTCGTGCATTTTAAAAAATATTCATAAATATTTATATTTAATGTTATTTTCATATTTTTTCTCTATTTCATCTAAGCATCTCTTTTTCACTATGCATATATTCATAGATGATTGCTCTCCGGAAAAAATCTGTATATCCAGATTTTTCACTAACCGTGATCCGGAAGCTTCCTTAAATCCAGGGTCCAGAAGTTTCAAAAAATCATCCATCCCATTTACGCATAAAAATTCTTGAATATTTTATTTAAAAATATTAGAACTAGGATTTATACTTGGCATCTCTTTCATTTGTAAATGTTTTTTCTTGTAGAATTATAAATGTGATTATAGATAAAAGTAAACTTTTACATAATTATTCATTTAAATTATGCTGCGTGCAATTTATTTAGAATTTCATGCATTGAAAATGTCAATGATTTGAATTTATAAAAACCAAAGTTTTTGAGATACATCATTAATGATTTTACTCAGGGAATTTTCAGGATTTTTGAATTGGCTCACAATCAGCCCTGATATATTTTAAGAAAGACCCCAAAATAAAGAGTAGATGGTTTGAAATACTTGTGTTTAGTTGTAAGAGTGTTCTTGTACACAGTATAACATAATAATCAAATAATAAATATATTTTTATGTGTAGTTAAATTAAAATAATATTGAAGCAAAAGGTTTAGTCAACTAAAATTGTTTGAGCCTAATGAAAATTAAAAATTTCAGTAAACCCAATTTTTTTAAATCATCTCAGTTTGAAAAATTTTTATTTAATGTTTGATTTTTTTTTTTTTTTCAATTATTTATTTCAATTTATGTATATATTTAAAGTTATTTGATTGTACATGAAGTGATGTTGATACTTTTGTTTCTTTGAAATTAAATTAACATAGTCTCTAGAATTGATCTTTTTTAAATAACAAATTTGAATTTCATCAGATATTAAAAAATTTAATCTTTCTGAATGTTTTTAAAAGGCATTATTAAATATTTTAAAATCCATGTTCTAATTTGTATGTTTGCTTTAATTGCTGGGGGGGGGTTCAGTTTGTTTAGTAGTCTTTTTTACTACTTTTGTTTTAATTGGCTAATTAAAGAAAAACCTGCATAAGTCATGTAAAGTGTTTGGTAGAAGTCATGGAAAATCATAGAAAGTCATTCATTTGAAAACTATATTTAAGATATGTGTTCATTCTAAGTAACTTTTTGAAGAATTATCAGAATTTTTGATGTGGGTTATCCTTTTTTGCTTCCAATAATTTTCAATTGACAGTAACAATTTAAAAAGTTTACCAAATGCCTGTCTACCTAATAATGGTCTAAAATGTGTATTTAAATCATTAGGTGCATCTCCTATTGACACCTCACATTTGGGAGCTCAACCACCTCCTCCAGGTGTTGGACCTTTGATGCCACTACCTCTTACAAGTGAAAACCAACCTTATATGAGCCGTCGTTATGAAAGTGAAGATCCTTTAAAAGACTCTAAAAAGGATGAAAGGTAATTTATAATCTACTTCTGATTTTCATTCTTAATTTGGTATTTATAAAATACAGGGGACAACATGAGGGAAAAACCTTTGGTCTACTAGCAGATCCAAACCCTCACTGCTACAGTTAGTTAGTATTATTATAATTATACTAAATGCAGTAGGGACCATCGCTATTCCGGATAACTGATTTTTCCGGTTTTCTGAATCGCTGCAAAAAGCCATTTTTTTATTGTTAAACCCAACTAAAAAAAATTATTTTTTGGAAATAATCTTAAAAAGAAGAAAAAACGATGAAGTAATACACTAATGATTATTTCCAAAATGATGGTAAGGTGAACATCTTTCAAAAAAGAAAGAAAAATCTTATGAGGGAAAAAAAAAAAATTTTTTTTTAATGGCGGGAAAATTTATCAAATTTCGTTCCGGTTTTTTGGTTTCCGGATAACGGGCAGTGTACTGTAGTATAATTTCTGTTCTAAAATGCACATGAATCATATCTTAACAAAAAAATTGGGTATAGCATACTCTTAATTTGTTTATTATGTATTTATCAATATAATATTATTATCAATATATTTTAAGGAAATGTAAATAAGGAAACGGTTATATAGTTAATAACTATAATTACACATTTTATTTTAATTTTGTTGTAACAATTACATTCAATGTAAAAAGTGCACTTACATGATTCCCAGCTTTCGTGTATTATGCCGTAGGTTACAAAATATTTTTATCGTTCAATGAAGAAGATCTGTTTGGCTGAATTTCTGTATGACATAGCTCAAGTAGCAAGACATAGTAGCAAGAAAAAATTTAATTATACAAAAAATTGAGATGAAATTTTAATCACAATGACAATGAAGTAAATTTATAAAAAATTAAATTTTGTGCGAATGAATATATGCTGAATAGAGCTTTTTCTAGCATTAGTATTACTGTGTAATAAATTATGTTTTATAACATTTTACATTCATGAAACTCATACTAAATAGTATTAATTATAAAATAAATTAATATATTTATAATTCACTCTATGCAGTTATTTGTGTAATTTTGACTACAGTTGTTTACTGTATGCTTATTATATATTTACTTTATATCTTTAATAGGAGTATTGATGATCGTTTGGAGGCTTTCCAGCGTGAGCTTGAAAAGCGTGATCGAAAAGATAACAGAGATCGTTTGTCACGTAGCAGGAGTCGAAGTTCTGGCCGTCATAGATCCCGATCATATTCGTCTTCAAAATCCTGGTCTCATTCGGCAAGCCGAAGTTTGTCAAGAACTCCAAGATCGAGGTCTCGTACACCTTTCTCTAGTAGATCGAGATCACGCTCTTATTCCTACTCTAGATCAAGATCTTGGTCAAAGGTCAGATCTTATACCAGATCCCGTTCTCGCTCCAGGACGAAGTCCAGATCTAGATCGAGATCAAGGGTTAGACGAAGGAGATATTCTCGTGAGAGGCCGCGCTCTCCAAGACCTCGTTCAAGAAGTAAATCCTATTCTCCCAAAGAATATCGTGCCCCTTCCCACAGAAGCCTTCCTTATTCTGGAAAGCACTCATATTCTTCACCCCAGTATGTTAGTTCATATCAATCACAATATGGACAACCCCCAAATATTCTCCCATTGCCTGTTATGAGGCCTCCACCTTATCATATTCATCCAATTCTTCCTGTTCAGCCAATGCATACTCGACCTATGGATCATTATCCTGTTGATAGAGCTCCTAAGTATGCTTCGTTAAATGATCAATATCCTGCCTATGATTCATATCCTACTCACAAGTATCAAAGATATGACAGAGAGCAAAGAGGATATGAGAAAACTGGAAGTTATGATAAAAATATTAGATATGATAAAAGGCAGGACTATTCTAGACACGAGGATGAGGAGGCTCCTCATAGAATCCCTGGTTGGGTTGGTGAGAGGCCAAGGGAATATAAACCAAAATATGGAAGACCTAGAGATCAAAGAAAAGAAATAAAAGAATTACCCAAAATCCCTGAGCATGAAATGAGAGTTCTGCATTCAAAAGAACTTGATAATGAGCCTTCTTCTAAAGAGAGATTAAAAGAAGAAAGAAAAGCTTCAAAACCTGCTAAAGAGAAAGAAGAAAAAGTCATTAAGCATAAGAAGCATCATCACCATCATAAGAGCAAGGATCTTAAAAAACAAGAAACTAAGGTTACTTCTTCTGCCAATGTTGAGAAGGAGGCAGATCTATACAGAAGTAAAACAGAAGAATTTGAAAATGAAGAGAACAATGAAGTGCCTGCTGTTGAGGCTAAGGTAACTAAAGCTGCAGAAAAGGTGAAAGATAAGAAACACAAACATAAGAAGCACAAAGTTGGAGAACAAACTGTTAAGAAAAAGAAAACTGCAAAGAAGGAGAAGGGTGAAGCAGTAACAAGTACTAACACAGATGTACCTACAAAGGTAAAGAAAAAGAAGACTAAAATTAAACAGCCACCACCTGAAAGTAATATTGAAGAACACGAAGTGAAGCTTGAAAAGGCTCCATCACCATTACCTGAGTCAGTAGAACCTGCAGTTGATCCTGCAGAAGCTGTTGTTCCTACTTCTGAAACTGAAGCAGTTGACAAATCTCTGGAAGAACCTGAATTGAAGATTCAGGTTGATAGTGAGACAGCTGAATTCATCACAGAAGAACTAAATGAAGAAGACATTAATGAAACTGAAATGAAAGATGAAAATGATGCCGCAGAAACTGGACATATTGAAGAAACTGTTAATAGCGAAGAAGAAATTGAAGAGGAAGAAGAGGAGGAGGATGTTCTTAGAGTAGATGTACCCGGTTTATCTAAGTGGGAACGTGATAGTGGAGCTGAGGATGTTGAGGAAGATGCTGTGAGACCTCAAAGAAGAAGCTCTGTAGTTGTTTCAAAGGAAGAAACACTTCCCTCTGAAATAATTCAAAAAGCTGAGAAAGTGTTCCTTTCCCACCAAATGAAGCCTAGAATTGACACAAAAGATGAAAGTGATGATTCAAAAGATTCTAGTGATGAGTCTAGTAGTGAAGCATCTCCTGTCAAGCAAAAAGACGGTGTCGAATTGAAAAGTGTTGTCAAGACAGAACGCCTACCCAAAAGTGAACTTCGTGTAATTGTTTCTAAAGAAAAGCGATCTGTTCATTCCAGAAAGGAAGATAGTGGTGCAAGAGACGAGTCCCAATCTAGAAGATACCAGCGTGACAATAGGGGTCACAGTACCCGGCATAGAGATGACGATATTGCTCCTCGGAGAACCATAACTTTGCATTCTTCAAATGCAGACGAGAAATACAGAGAGCCAAGAGAACGGGTTTCTCAGCGTAGAGACAGAAGATACAGTCCTAAGCGGGAAATTGTCACGGGCAGGAGCAGTTCTAGGGACCATAGCTATAGGCATGAGTCGGGATACAGGGATAATGATACGATTCGAAGGGAAGAAAGAAGGCGGAGGTTTGCGGAACCTGAACCTAGGCATGACAGGCAAATTGAACATAGTCGATTAATTGAAAGGTCTGATAGAAGAAGAGCCCATGATGATGGTGTATCTTACTCAAAAAATAAAAGAGAGGTTCGGTCGTCTGAACAACCACGCAAATCGGTTAAACATCGAAGGTCTCGTTCAAAAAGCTTTGAATCTTTAGATAGCTCTAATTCATACAGCAAGAGAAACGAAAGATCTAATTTAACAATTAAAAGTAAGGAGCAGCATCGTGAAAGAAAGGATGATGATCGAGCCCGAGCTGAACGAAGTGAATCCTTGCGAAGAAAACATTCCCCGATTAAACCCCCAGAAAAACACTCCAAGCCTAGTCGTAAAGATGACTTTGATGCTCTGAAATTTGAACCTGATTATGATGAATTTAGTGATGTAGAGGAAAAAGAACCAGAGAAAGAACGCTCTAAAAGAAAAAGCGCAACACCAGATACTAGTAGAAAGCGGATAAAACTGGAAAAGGGTGATGAATCTATCAGCAGAAGGATTACAAGGCATAGCATTACCAGTAGTGCTAGTTCTTCAGCGGTCAGTGCAAGTGATTCGTCTGATTCTGATGATCAGAAAGTTAGCAAGAGTAAAAATTCAGATTCTGAACACAAGCAAAAGCATAAAAAATCACGTCATAAGAAGCACAAGAAGCATAAGCACAAGCATAAAAAGAAGAAAAGCCACAAATCAAAAAAGAGTGAATAAAGTTATTTGAGAATTGGGACTTGCTTATCTCAGTAACCTAAATATTTGATAAAACAATTTGTATATAGTGTGAAATTTATTTTTCTCACCTCAATAAACAATTTCCTAAATGATATGTTAAAAAAATGAGTCTGACTCATTATATTATACTATATTATATTGCATAAGAACTGGAAATTACATCATTTTGCTCATATTTATAACCAAAGTATCCAGTGTAGTATTCTTATTAGTACCTTCAAATGGATGCATTATTGATAAAAGAAACTGACTCTCACAGAGTTACAATATTTATAAGAACAAGTACTTGTTAATTTGTGTTTTTCTAATTTCTTTCTCGTTTTAGAGAAAATTGTGTGCCGAAATCACTCATAATCTTTCAAACTTAAGGAACAAGACGAAGATTTTTCGACAGTCAAGTTGTGCTTTATGGACAAAAAGCTGTGATAATTCTTGGTTAAAATGCTAGGTGTTTTTAAACACTTTTTGTAAACTAGTCTGCTTGAAAAATGATCGACAGTTATGCTAAGTGAAGAATCACTTAAGAGAATGAATGAAGTCCAAATGTCTACTCATTTGTCTAACTGCATGTTTTGTTAAATTTTTGTTATTATTTTTATTCCATTTTACTTACAAGTGTTTTACTCTTTGTTTGAGAATTGATTGTGATTTGTGTACAAAATAATAATAATTAAAATAGTTGTTGATATATTAGTTGCCAAGAATTGATCGTGATAACCTACATATATATGTCAGTGGCATTACCATTTTAATGATAAAAAGACTGAAGTATATAATAGGACTCTCAAATCATGGAATAATATTTTATCTTAATCAATAACAGGGCACCCAAATAGATTCCCTTTTATTCTATAAGTCTGTTTCTTCCCCTTTGGTGCTTTTTTATCAGTTCCCCCCCCCCCCCCCAATGAAAATAAATCAGCCAAATGATCTCTTTCTCCTGTTTGATTATTATTTTAAATATAAAGCAAAAATTCGAGTATTATATTCCTTGCAAAAAAGGGGGAAGAGTAATAAGCTAATTAAATTTATCAATTAACGTTTAGAAACAGTTCACTCATGATATATATTTTTGTCGCTTTGAAATATTCATATGTCATTTCTTTATTTAAATTAATACTACTAATAAAACTTTAAAATTTACATTAAATTACAATTGTTTCAAATATCTGATTTTATTTACAGTATTTGAGATTACAGAATTTTCAAGGTTAATTTTATGGATTAATAATGGATTAATTTTATGGAGAATATAACTTAGTATAAAATTTTTATATTCATGGATTTAGGGGGCATTCGCTTATTTTTCAAATTTCGGTAATAAATTTTGTGGGATGGAATTTTCAAATTCAAAATTTAAGATTGGTTTTTTAAAACAATGACTGAATTTTGTACTTAGAAAAGATACCATCCACGAAATTTTCTTTTGATTTGAAATTATGAAAGCACTTGTTAATTAATTAAAAAAAGTCTTGAACCTAATTACTAATTCTAACAAAAGTATTGAATCAAGAGAATTATCTAATATTCCCCATTCATTTATTTTCATTCTGTGCATGAGTCATGCTTATAGGTACTATATTATGTATATAATATTGTGTCTAAAAATATGATTACATGTTAAAGAATGTTATTTTTGTATTGAAAAATAATTAGTAATTGAAAAAAATTTGGTTCTATTTTTACCCCTCTTTGATTGGAATATCTGTTGGGACCCTATAGATAATTTGATTACTCATTGCTATAATAAGAACAATATAAATTTTAACTATTTAAAATAAATTGAGGTGCCCAGGCTAAGAATAATTGATCTCAACTGACATTTGAATTGCTAGATCTCTGTATGACTAGAAAAGTTAGTTTTTTTCTATGGGCCAATTTTTATGGTGGAAAAAGAAAGCTTTCCCGCATTCGATTTCATATAATACTTCATCATATGAAATATGGATGGTGTGAGTACACTGTCATACATTTTTCTCAAAATTTGAAGTTGATAGAGATATCCTATTTTTTTCAGGGTGCCTCAATTTCCCGTTACGCTTGGTAAAATTATAAAACAAAATGTTGCAGAAAATTTTTTTAGGAACTTACATCACCTTCTTAATTATAAGAGAGATCCAATGTTTCATGAATTCAAAAAACATTTGAAGTGGTATTTACAAAAAAATTAAAACGCTGCATAAACAACTAAGCTGTAAGTTACAAATTTATAACTCACGATTTCATAGTGTTTGCATGCTCTGACAATTTTTGAGTTGAAATAGCAATTTTATTTTAGATGTCTAAATTTAAACTTTTTTTTTCAAACAAGCTTTCAGAAGCAATAGTGATTTAGTTTAACCCATAGCTATCAATACTCTTTTCACATTGTTTAACTTCAAAAAGTTAAAATTCTATAGTGGGAACACATCCACAAAGTTCAGAACAGCTCTTAAATTGTTCAATGTAATGAACTAAAGTTAAACAACTCTTGAGATATCTAACTTTAATAAAGATGCAAATAATTGGATAACACAAAGCAATTTGAAAGAAATTTCAATGACTTGCTGAAATAAATAATGTTATTTTTTTCCCAACTAAACTAGGTTTTAAAGTTAATGCTATATTCTGTATTATGTTACGTCCTTAGACAATGTTTTGTTGGATCTGACTGAATAAGTAAACACTAAATATCTAACTATGCAATTAGAAAGCTAGCATGTATGTTTCTAATATTTTTTTTAAAAAAGAAATATATGTATTTGTTTTTTTAACTATTATGTATTACAGTTTTAGTTTATCGGAGAAATACCATGAGCAAAAATGTACCCATGTTATCTGTCATTTGTATTGTATGTTCATAAAGTGTTATATTTCATATTGTATTAAATCATTTGTATAATAAAATCACTTTCCAAAAAAATACTTTTTTTTTCTTTTGAATGGGCACTGGAACATATTAATTGAAGAACTTATTGGAAAGTATTGTGTACCATTACTTTTTTTTCATTTGTATGGTTTCATCATAAGCACATATTTTTCTCATTAATCTTTTTTCAGTTACTACCGTAGATTGCAGAATGTTACTTTTATGCATAAAAATGAGAGTTTTATTTATCTTCTCTGTACAAAATGATTTTTTAAAAACAATTAAGTATGTACTAAAAAAATCACATTGAGGAAAAAAAAATGTCAGATAATTTTGTTTTCCAGCAATCTTGTGTCTTTTTTTCATCTGTCACTCGATCAGGTTATGATTTTTCAATCCTGCCCTATTTAATACTAATGTGTTGTATTTCGATGGCATGTTTGTATTAAATTCACTTAAATATAGTTAGTTACCCCTAAAATTTATACTTTTTTAGCTTCATGTCCGATTATAATTCTAAAATTATATCTAGAATTGTATTGTATACTTTGGCCAGTGCCCCCTGTTCACTGCCGTTCACAGACCCTCTTGATTGATTTGCAATAATTTTAGTTTCTTGACACAAAACAATTTTTTTTCTTTTGGAAGTTGAAACTATTAACTTAAACGTAAAGAGGTTAAGACACATTAAAAACACAATAAATTGTATCCCTAGCAATAAGTTTTTTAAGGGGAATTCCATAATTTATGTTCGAACAGTTAAATCTCATTTTAAGCAAATAAAAATATATATGTAAACAGAAAATGACTAAGTAATAATATTACAGATTTCATAATATTAATTTAAAGAGAATAATACAAAAAGCTTTTTCATCACTGTTACTAAGAGTTATTTTTACTAGATTCCGAAAAATATTGAATTGTACTCTAAAATCATGCCTTTTGGGCAACGGTACCTCGCATAAAAATCAAACCTACAGATATTGAAGTCTTTATCATCTGTCTTACTGGAATCAGCAAAAAGTATTAACATATATACAAAATTAGTTATAACAAAATAAAATTTGTAAACCCATTCAGTTTTCATTATAGACATTTATAAAAAAAATTTCGCTTTGTTTTATGGATCATTTTAAAAATTAGATACCATTTGAGAAATTGAAGTAGTATAAATAAACAAAATTGTTGAACAAGTATAAATTAAACATATATAAATCTTTCCGTATTAATGTTTTTCGTACAGTTTATTTTTTAAAAAATATTTTAATGTTGTATTTTTGTCCGATTTGTTGAAAATTGTCATGGCTGTTACCGGACATGTTTAGTAAAATTAAACCACTTAAATTTCAGCACACAATAATTTAAATTGGAATTTATTGTAACTATAGAGTTGTGCCATACATTAAATAAAGATTTTTAATTTTAAAAAGCATTGTTATATTTTTTTTAAATTTGCTTTTGTCATGTCTGTAACCATTCTAAAAGATTTTTCAAGTATTGTTTTATCATAAAGTACCATAAAACATAATAAAAATTTAACTCAATTATCTGCACTTGTACTAGATAAAAAAAATTATCTGAACATTTTACACTATTATTAATGGATCAATTTGCATTTTATAAGAAACGTTATCAACGGTAACAGACATGACGTTTTTTTTTATATTTTATTAATTAGTTTAATATTAGCATAATTATAGCATAAGTTTAATATTTAATTCATCTTTCAAAATAGTGAACAGGTTCTTTCCATAAAGCGAATCTCATAAAATGACCATGATTCATACTTAAAATTGTTCTCATCTATGAGTTTGTTTAAAAGGAATACAAAAATTAAGCCGATATTGCAATGTGGCACCATCTAAAAGAAGTGTCGACTTTTGGTGGAATTTATTTCTGTGGCAAGTTTGCAAACATAATATTCTGAGAAGTCGATGAGTACAAACAATAGCATTATAATGTAGATAAAAAAAATCAAGTTAAGGAAAATTACTTTTGCAATTAAGAATAAGAATTCCATATTTTAATTAAAATTTGTTCTAAAAAGAGAAAATATCTTCGCAATTTCAACCTTGTAATAAATAACTAAATATGGTAGCAGACATACTAACTACGAAAAATGTGGTGTTCCTTAAAAAATAAAAAGAACAATCAAAATGGCTTTTGCTACCTCTTACTGACACATTCTTCACTGGTATGCAAGTGTTACCATTAAGGAATTCCAACTGTGTAGTTGTAAATATGTATATGGGGTAACAGACTTGACATTAATTTCTGGATGGTTGAATTTTATTAATTAAAAAATTTAATTTTACTCGCTATTTATTACAATATTATCAGAATGTAATTTTGACAATTTCACACAGTTGTAAAATACGCCAAGAGTCGAAAGCTTAGTTATAGGTATGAAATTCGTGTAACTAGATTTTAGTGTTTTTGTTTTGGTCAGCTACATTTTCAATTTCTCTTTATTTCCTTAAATACTATTTATTCTTAATTAGGAACTTCAAACATTATACTTGTTTTACTAGAAGCTGTCTGTTAATAAATGTGACACAGAAAAAGTAATTTAAAGTTTCTCAGAATTACTAAAAGAAAAATACTTTTCAGACGGACAGCAAATAGCACCCAAATATGAAAATGACCCTTATATGAAAAAAAATTAAATAGGAGCCCTAGCATCAAAATTTAGTTGAATATTCATAAAATCTAAAAAATTTTATATATGTGACCTATAGAAATTTATTTCAGTTTTCCAAACTATAAATTTTGGCCAGCTTAAGTGCTATCGGTCAGTTTTCTACGGACAATGCCAAGGTAGTTGTGAAAACAAGTTTTACAAGAATGTGGTAAAAATTAAGTTTTAAAACAGGCATAATCTGACATTTTCTTGCATGTTTATGATGAGAATATATTGCTGACTAAGTTTAAATATTTTATATATTTCCTCATCTAAATAAATCTACCACTAAAATTTTTAAGTTATTTTAAAGATTGTTAATGTTTTCCTGCTTAAAAAGATTCATTATCATTTTTTGAGACAACCTTTGTTTTATTTAATATAGACATAATTGTATGTATAGATACATTTACATCTTTATAGGTATATGTATTATCTATAGATGTAATAAAATATCTAAAAATATAAATGCATCTATAGCTAGGATGCATTTATATTTTTAGAATGCATATTATAGCTAGGTTATGTTGTTATTATATACCCAGTAAAAATTTTTTATTAACTTCCGATACAAATAGACATAGCGCAAAAAATGAAAACAATCATAAAAATATATTATAAAGAAATTCAAGGATTTTCTTGCTAAAAATATTAATCATAAACTATTAGATTTAAATTCCCTAATAATATAAGACATGGAAAATTGTTAGAGTTCTTCCTTTTAATAATACATAACGATCTAATAATAATTTAAAAAAAATAAAAAGTTTATGGGTAGACTAGATAATAATAGCTACACATATTATCTAAAGATAAACTAGGTATATCTAGGTATAAATTTTGCTTTAAAAAGAGTAGGCCACAATGTTAAAAAAACAGCATTGAAATAGATTTCTACTAATTGTGTCAAAATGTCTGAATACCCGTAGTTCAAAAATTAAATATTCATAAGGCTCATTAGAAAATATAATACGTTCTGTTCTTTTGATTTGACATAATTTGCCCTTTAAAAAGCATATCCTTTTATCGAAATATCAATAAGTATAAATAAAACAATATAAAAAAATATTATTTACACATTTATTGAACATAGAAATAAATATCACAAGTTTTTAAAAAAATATTGTAAATAAAAAACAAAGATTCGGCCCCAAAGATAAAGCACAGGATAAAAAATGGTAACAATATACAATTAGCAACACTTATAAATATATATTTTGAAAAATATAATACAATATTTCTCTTCCTAAAAAAATATGTTACGGGATAAAGTACAGAAAAATTTATTGTGTAAAAAATAAAAATATATAGCAACAGCTAATCAAAAAATTAAAACACTGAGTTAAACCTAACAGAAACATACATCAATAATTACAGATGAAAACAAATTTCTAAACAGACTGTAGAGTCACACAAAAAAATACAATGAAAAAATGAATATATTCCGAATTTTCCAATTAAAAGTACCTTATATTGACTTTAGGGTGAACATTATTTGGAGTGTACAGAAAATAATAACTTTAAAATACAGTTACATAAAAAATTACATATGAAAATATACAAAAAGGAAATCAAATATAACATAATTTTAATAGCCAAACAAAAATTTGTTCTTTGTTCAATATAAGTAAATTTATTCAGAATAATATATTCAGAATTTTGCAATCAAAAGTACCTCATACTAACTTTAGGGTGTACATTATTTAGAATGTACATAAAATAATAAGGACTTAATAATACAGAAATTCTAAGTCAAAATAGCAAATATTAATTTTATCAGACATGGCACAATCTGAACAAAAATTATATATTCTTCGTTATTTGCTGCATACTAGCACAGTAATTGTCAAACAATCATTTTATAAAATATAACATATGAAAATATACAAATTAAGAAAGAAATTAAATCTAACATAATTTTAATAGTCAAACAAAAATTTGTTCTTTGTCATTTTTTGCAATGTGAGGAAACTTATTTAGAAAACTTTTAAGCACGGACTACTACGCAAAACAATAAAATATCGTATTTTAAAAAAAAAAATTAAAACAAAGTCAAATAAAAAAAACTTTGCCAATGGTAAATTCCTGCATACTCAAAACAGTGATGGTCAATCTAGCATCTTATAAATTATTACATTTAAAAATGTATTAGCTAAACTAAGAAAAAAAGTGAATTTTAATAAAAGCTCATTCTGTGTCATGTACTGAATCATTACTTAGTACACTAATTTACATAAATGTTAAAAGCAGACTAGTACAAAAAATATATAAATATCACATTTTGACGAAAATAGAGTCATCACTATTTTTTTCATAAAAATTAACAGATTAAAATAAAAAAAATTTTTTTTCATTCTCTTTTTGACTTGCGACTTTTTTTCTTCAAATGAACAGACTTATGTTTCTTATTACATGATTTTTTAATTTTATAAGCATTTTCTTTATCAGAACTTGAACATTCTTCATCTGGAGAAGATTTGATACAAGAAACTCTTTTGCTGACATAGCATCCATTTTCTTCTAATTTTATTCTTTTGCCACTATTTTCCGGGAAAACACTTCTTTTTTCAGACGCCTTCATCACAACATCTTCCGGCTCATAATCTGGTTCAAAATTGTCGAGAGACATTTTTGTATCAATAGACATTTTTGTATCAGGCTTAGAGAATATGCTGGAGCATCGTGCTTCAAAATGAGGCTTTTCCTGATACAAAGACTTATTTTGTTCAATATGCACTTCTTTCTCACCTGTGTGCTTCTTACGGAACATCTCTTCTTTCTGAACAATGTTTCCTTTATTAGAACCAACAACTTGGGGAGGATAAGAGTGCTTTCCAGAATCAGAAGAAAGACAAGGGAGATTTCTGGAATACGAAACCCTCCTGTGAGAAGATCTACAGTGTTCTTTGGGAGAGGACGATCTCCTTCCAAGATGAGATCTGGTTCGTTTGGTTGACTTCCTTCTAGATTGTATAAACTCTTTGTCGGTAGGAGATCGAGAATCAGAATTAGAAGATTTCCAGCATCTTCTGGAAGAAGAGGATCTCTTTCGCGGACGAAACTTGGAAGATCTTGATCGTTTGGCTGATCTCCGACTAGATTGGTGTTCTGTGCTGGTGGAAGAGTGATAATCAGAACGTGACTGTATTTTTGATCTCCTAGAGAGAAGTATAGGAGAATCTGATGATTTTTCACTAGGCAAAGATTTGGAAGGAGATAAAAACATGTGTTCATAACTAGAATGACCAGAGCTTCTACTTTTATTGCGAGGTAATTCCTCTCCATAATGGTTTCTGTCACATTTTTCACGATTCAAAGTTTCCAAATCATAATTGATACTTCTAAAACACATAAAGAGAGAAAAAATTGTAAGTTTAAAATAACAAACTACTTTGCTTGTAAAAAAAGAAACAGACACACAGTCTTAACACAAAAACTACAATAGTTAAAAATAAAAGCCTCGGTGGTCCCCACTTTAAACTTTTATAGACATAAGATGTTATGAATTTTCAAGAACAACTTAGAAGTGATATACATGATTGTTCAGTTTATGAAAGCTCTATTTATTGGCTTTGATTTTAAATAATAAATATGGTAAGCTTTATTAATGCATCAATATTAACAAAAATGTAATAAAAGAATTATGACTCCAAAAGGAAAAAAAAACATACATTATGCATTTATTAATAATAAATAAAATAATACAATTCTTTGTTTTTGAACTCATGATTTTACTCAGCCTAACTAATGTAAGTGCTTAGTTTTCATGCAAAAGTGCATCTAAAAACAAGATTGATGTAGTAGATAACTTTTGACATCTAATGATGGATTACTGAGTAGTAAAAAGTAAAAAATGTAAACTGAAATAAAATCTATGTTTGCTGTACAGACTTATTTCCCGAAATTTGAAGTTAGGTACTCATTTTATTTCACAAGAAAAAAATATGTAAATCCCCAATTCAATCATTAAATTAATAAATAATTTAGCAATTTTGTTTTAAACATGTCTAATCGATAGGGAATATATTTCATGTTTTAATTTCAATTACTAAATTTAAACTAGTTACTAACTAATTGGTAGCAAATAAACTTAAACTAGTATTGATAAGAACGTGTATAAAATCCACAATCACACTAGATTTCATAACTAATCTATACACCTCAAATGGTTTTAACAAAAAACATATAAAATATTGTACTTGAAATTATAACCTTACTCATACAATAAAATTGAGGAAAAATTAAAATTCCTTAACAAACCCTCGAATTGTGGATGAGCCAAAAGAGTTACAGTATATTAACCAACAGGTTAATACTTTTAATTCTTGTTTATTAACAAGGCGTGTTAACAGGTGCAATTACAAAACAAAAAAGCATGAATGATATTTTTGGAGAAAAAAAACGAAAAGAAATAAAGAACTCAGTAAATAAGGTTACCTTTCATCCCTGTTAAAAGCGACTGCAGAATCATGCACTTCATAACGACAACCCAAGTAAGTCGGAATTTGGCAAGGTAAAGGTTCCACTCCTGGTGGCAATGGTTCTGCTTCCAGATATGAAACGTCATCAGATGTATCTGGAAAAAAAGAGAATAAAAATATAATAGAAATCAAAATTTAAAAAATGCAAGCAACAGGTAAACAATCAGTAACATCGTGAAAAATTAATTTCTGGAGAAAATAAATATAAAAATTTGAATTGGATCATACGTGAAACATCGTAAAAGAATCAACACGCTTTACAATGTTTGTAACAAAACCTGAAAAAGTATTAATAACAACGCTAAATAGAAAGTCAAGTAAAATCTACTTTTTTTAATTAATAAAACTAATACTTTTTAATAGTTAAATAGCTTTAGAGTTGACATAAAAACTAATCAAGACACTGAAATTAACACTGAGGTATATAATAAATACTGTTACGTATTACATTTAATCTAGATATTTGAAAGTTTTTTTTAGAAATCAGGAACTTACCGCAATAAGGATAATCATCAAAATAGGAATCTCGAATTGGCCTCTGAAAAAAAAGAAAGAAAAGAAGTTATCAGAATACTTTATACACCTCAAGATGCAGAAAAATATTTAAATCCTTCAAACAAATTAGATAAATTAATTATACCAAACATCATAAGCAAGGATATATCAAATGCATCAAAAACTTTACTTAGAAATAGCAATCATAATAAGACTTATTTTAATTATTTACAGTTATTGTTAAAAAATTTAATAAAATCAAAAATCAGAATCTTACAACAAAAAAGCTTAAGTAAAACAAAAAAAAGTAACTTCTTAAAAAAATAGCTCAGCATTCAAAATTAAAAATACTTAAGCAGCAATTAATTCAACCACCTAAAAAAATATGACATTCATACAAAAAAAATTTGAAATCATGTTAATAATTGAACATTTAAGAAAATAAATATTGAAACGATTTCTCGAAGTATTTGAAATGGTAGAAAAGAAAATCAAATTATAGATTAAAATACTTATAGAAAGATCTTTATTTCCATACTAGAATTTTTTTGTGAAATTACCTTTAGTAAATATTAATGGCAAATATTATTGGTCACAAAAGCACTGCTCATGAGAGCTTAAAACTCAAGAATAAAGTAAATATGCATTAGTTGAAAATATTGAAACCTTTAAAATTGAATTTTTAAGTTTATTAAGGAAAATAATATTCTCTTACTTGTCCATATGTACATCTTGAAGTAATAATAGTCTCAATCTTCCTGCCAGATTGTGTGCCATCATAAGAAGATTCATCTGCTAATGAATTTCCAAACTCTTGACAGCTAAAAAAAAAGAACAAAAAAAATTAAAACATCAATAAAATAAATATAAATGAAAAACTAATATAAAAATGAAATTTTAGAAATTGTCTAAAGTACTAGAATAAGCAACTTTTTATCTCCAATGGTTGCACAAAAACAGTTTGTCTAACTACCATAAACTAAGTACATCAAGGTGGAAAGCAAAATTTACCATTTAAAAATATTTCAAACATTTTAAAGTTATATTCTGTTAACCCTTCGCAGATAGGACACATGTATCCATTTTATATTTATATCCATTTCTGATGCTCTTGGCATTTTTTAATTATAAAAAAACAGTGTAATCATTACTAATAAAACCCGTCACATTATCGGAATTATATTTGCACTAAAATATAAAACATAAAGGAAGCAATTAACAAAAATTTGATTCATATTTTTTAAAAACGTATCCTTAATTGATTTTGTAAATTGAAAAAGTTTTGTTTGAAAGTGAGCTGTCTTTGGAAGATTTACCGTTAACACAGAAAAAGGCACTAAATTTTAAATCAGTAATTCATAAACATAAATTATTAAAATGATAAATAGAATATTTTTCACTCATTTTGATCTAAAATAATGCAAAATTTCAACAAAAGTTGCAAAAATCTTTAATCAAAATTGTGCGACAAAGCATTAAATCTTTAAAAAAGAAAATAAATCCAATTGTTAGTACATTCATAATTAGCAAAAGAAATCATTATGCTTACCTATTATCTAACTTTAAAGTTGCAGTAGGATCCTTTTTTATGGAATCTTTAACATCCAGTGGCTTATTCTCAGTTTCAAGAGTCTTTTCTATGGCTTTAAAAAATTCAACAGTAGTTCTAAATTCAGGCAATTTAGATTTCGAACTTAGTTCAGAAAACACTTGATTTGAAGACTTAAAATTTTGCACAGCCTTTCGTAAATACAGACATGGAATTAGATTATCCGAATTAGTAACCTCAAAATCATGACAAACTGGGCACTCTGAATTGGAAAATGCTAGATAACCACCTGTAATAAACATTCATTTAAAATCAGTTTATTACACAAATATAAAACAAGTATTCTGAAATCTAATGAACTAACATTAATGTTTCAGTCATGCTATAACAGTTCAAATCATCTAACCTGTGTAAATGGTTTTCATATGAGTTGACCATAAAATGTAAGTAAATAAGTAAAACGAAATCCCATATGACTTTTAAATACATCAAATATGGCATTTCAGATAATTTTAATATAATTAAAGAAAGATTACATCATTAATATAAATGGGCAACAAGCTCTAAAAGTTTTGTAATTTTAAACTTTTGCAAGAAATACAATTTCCTATCGAACAGAAATTCTATTATATATCATACAAAACACTTGCTACAGTTTTATCTCGTTATTAATTTTTATAACACAATTAAATTAAATCAAAATAAATAATTTTATTACGTAGTAAAATTCTTAATCTGAAGAATGTGAGTTTTTGAAACTTTACAAAACAGAACATTTTAAGTATAATTATTAACCAGTTAAATGCAACAGTATTTAATTATAATTATGATTTCAACACATCTCTTTATGATATTATGATTATGTTAAATTTCTGAAAAGAAAATAACAAATATTTATAAAAAGCTTTGCTTAGTAAAAAATATTATAAGTAAAAATTTTATGTGTACAAAACTTTGAAGAGAATATGCAATTTTAAAAAAAAGTGGGGTTTACACCAGAATATTAAAACTTAAAAAACTGGATATGCCTGAAGCAAAGAAATGCTTACTCAGAAAAAGTATATATAGGAGCTTGGCTTAAGAACAAGATCAATGGTTACCAGCAATTAAATTAAGTAAAAGTAATTAAGTCAAGTGCATATTTATAATTGAGTATATATTTTAGTTTCAAAAACATGGGGGGGGGGGAATTAAACAAAGCAAAAACTTCATTATAAGCTCCTAAAAGCTAAACTAACACTTTTCATTATTTTTACCATTAATTTACCATATTCTAAGCTTAAAAGGAATAGGGATAAAATGCTCAAAAAAGTAAATATAACATCAAGGGAATTGTAATTAAATTCCAAAGAATAAAAAGATGAGAAGCCTAACCAACCAATATAAAAGAAATCCTTAAATAGAGAAATCTTTTTTCGATACTTAATTCCATTAAATAATTAACAATTACAACAAATTAGGATTCAGCACAAAATTTCAATACATACAGCGAAAGCATTTCGAAAATAAATGCTTGCTTTTAAAAAAAAACTTTTTTTGTAAAAACTTACACTCATAACAAAAACTATTTGCACAGCAAGGAGCTAAAACTGCATCTTGCAGAAGAGAGTTGCAAGCGATACACAATAATTCCTCGGGAACATCATCAGTAATTTTGGGAACCACATTATCTTCCAGCAGCTTCTTCTTGTCAATACAATATTCGCTAAAAAAATTAATCAAATATTTAAATAAAAAAATTGGTGAAACAAAAACTTTAACAAATATATTTTTAAAAACATAAATGAAAGAATTATTGTTTAATATCATTTAAAGCCGTAAGTTTCTAAGTGTGAAACAAAAAAAAGTTAACCTATATTAATAAATAAAAGAGAATAGCATATTATTAATTCTAAACTTAATTTCCTTAGCATTACTCCCCATGCTACATTTTTTTAATTTTTACTGAACGTACTCTACAACAAACATAATACACAACAATATTTATACCTGCTTTTATATCCTAAACAGTTCAAAGTGTTTCATATTCTTCAAATAAAATAAATTATGTCCACACTTTTTAAATGCTTATAAGTAACTAGATTATTATCTAATTTAAAATATTTTGTAACTTTTAATTTGAAAAAATAATAAGAATATTGAGCTTAGCATGTAAATATCCTAGAAGTGATCAAAGTCCAAATTTTGTGTGAAAAAAATTTTTTTCTCATCACATTTTTAAAAAAAATATATGAGCTTGTCTCTTAACACAAAAAGAACATACTTTCAAATATAATTTAAAAATTACCCTAAATTATAAGCTAATTAAAAAAACTAATAATATTTTGAGCAATTTAGTATATAATTACATAAAGTTAAGGAAAAAAAAATTAATAAAAACCAGCATTACTTACCTATTTCTCTTATACGCACTCGCGACAGGAACACGCGTAATACGAATTGCGGTATTTTTTGGAATAACTGCATTATCATCTTCGTAAACTGGCATCAGCAAATGAAAATTAATAAAATTTAATTAATATATTACAAAGTTTAGTAACATAAAAATGAGTAAAAACTAAAAAAAAATTGAAGAAATGAAACATAGATTGTTTTGAGAACAGAAATTTAAAAGTAAACATAACGAAAAATTGGCAAAAAATTACTCAACAGTGTGCAAGTTTTTAAAAGAAATCAAATCAAGCTACAACATAGAGCCTAATGACATTTTATTAGATCATATATTTTAGCATAAAATATCATTACAACTACATAATGTAGAATATACAATTTAGCTATGTACAGTTACATTCTTTGTAATTTTTTCGTAATAAAAATATATTATACATAACATATTTTTGAATGTTAAATAAAACATAAATTTCAAAAATATCGAATATGTATATTTAATATAAAATATATACATACAGATACTATTCTTAGTAACACAAATTAATCCTGAAAGATTTGATTTTCCATTTTGCATAAAATAACATTTTTAACAATAAGCGAATTGCATTGTGCAAAAAGGGAATCAGTCTCTTTAACCGCTTTAACTATTGGATTGAAAAACTAATAAAAACATTAAAGCATTAGACTAGATAATAAACCAGAAGCATTATTATTTTTAGACTTTTTGCACTGATATTAAATACAGAAATAAATGTTTTCCCTTATTTCGCTTTTGTGAAAATTAGTTAGCAAGACTAATGCCCTTTCAGCATATGATTCAAACACAAAAAACACTACTTTTCTGGAATATAAATAAATAATTCTTATCACAGTTTACTTGATGTGATAAACAAAAAGTTTGGATATGATTCAACTTTAATCAATTGATTTTTGGTGTATTCAGAGAGTTTTAGACTTAAATCAAGCTTTGAAATACTATAAAGATAAAAATCACAGACAACAACTACTTTCAAAATTGTAAATGAGTATATTTAGTGTGATAATAAAAGTAACTATAAATGATGTATTAATACTAATTCATCCATCTTTAATTAGCAAATACTAAACAAAATGTAAAAAAATGAAATAAAAAATTTTTTCTTTTAAACTTAAAGCTTGTTATTAAAGAAAAGCTATTTCTAAACAGAATAAATTAATGATTTTTGTTAACTTTACTACTAAGAAAACAGGTGTCATTATTGTACATTTCTACTATTAAATCAAAAACCATTATATTAATGTGTAAAACCTTTGCCTTTGGTGAGTTTTTTAACACTTCATTTCTGAAATTTGAATAAATCTCTGAAATTCTGCAATTGGATTAATTAAATATTCAAAGAAATGTGGATCTGGATATATGTGCAAAATACTGTGAGACAATTTAAATTTTTTTTCCAATTCCTTTGCAATCACTTTCACAATTTATTACTTATTTCTTAAAATAGTGAACTTACAATCCTCTTTAAAAACAAATTATTGAAATAGATTACAAAAAAGTGATGTAAGAAAATAATATTAAACACAATCACTTTTAGCGACATGATATGCAGAATAATATTTGATAAATTTGTGACAGTATCCAGGGACCAATACAGGTGGATTTTATAAGAGTTTTTTTTTTTTAATTATTTTATAAAAAATTTTATTTGAAAAATTGGAGCCAATAAAAATTAGTAAAAATAAATGTTTTACAAAAATTTCAACCCTAATCTTTAATAGTTTCAATGCAATCATGTGGTAATTTACTTACCATAAACAGACCACATAAACAGAACAAACAAACACCAACATAAACAGAACAATTACATAAACTAAAAAGTTCTTCGCAATAAAATAATATGCATTTTTCAAAAATTTTAGTTTAAGTTAAATATATTTAAAAAATGAGCATCTCGTAAAAATTCTGGATAAGTCCCTACAATTTTTTAACATTCCATCAAACTTCATGCCATGGTTATCTTTATAAAAGTAAAGTTAATTTAAAGAAAAGTACTTTGGGTGCAGTTAATGCAAAACAGCAATAATATACATATTTCCTGTACTATTCATACTAGAACCATATAAATACAAAATAAAACTTACAAATATATTATTTAGTACATTATTTAAAAACTATAATATTATGTGATATAAATAATTAGAAATAATACGAATCAAATATTTCAATAATTTATATTTAAAATAGCATAAAAATTACATTTTTTGAAAGAACAATAGCAAAGAAAACAATACAAGTGATGTTTTTCATTGCTATATTTTAACGTATGAATATGCTAAAACATGTATATTATAAAATTATGTTAATTTAATATATTTGTGAATTCTAGCAATGGTTTCTTGCCCTATATTATCATAATTGCAAAGTTTTTATTCCTCTCTAGAAAAAATAAACTCGCAATTTCTTATAAACATAACCAAGAACAAGTTTAATATTAACGAATAACACAAAAATGAAAGATACTTAAATAAGTCCATGATCCTTACCTTCCTTTGTTTGAACATTTGTTATTCGAAGTGAACAGCCTAAACTTATGTCCAGATTTCTGTACTGCAAAACTGCTCTCTTTATGAGTCCATTGTCAATACAATATTCNAAGCGCGCTACCCGATTGATTGTAAACAAAGATCGTGAAGTCACGTGATCAGTTAAGATACGGTTGCAGTCATCACTGTGTGGTATCATTCGATATTCAACAGCAGTTGCGATTAACAATTACGATTACTCAATTAAGCCAATCAGAAGCCTGTATTTTTGTAAACATATCACATTTTGCGATATGTAAAAATACAAGCTGGAATAGCTGAATTATGTCCTAGGAAGCCATGGATTTACGAAATTTAGATTTTCTGTGCACATACGATAGATTAATAAAGAAGCTAATTTTACACTGAACTGATATTTTGTTTAAAAAAAATTTATTAATGAAAGTAACGTAAAATAAACTTTCTAGTCGATTTGGGGGCCCCCCTGATGTCGGGGCCCGGGGCGGCTGCCCCGCATGCCCCTGCCTTTGTCAGGCTCTGCTAGATACAGTTAAAGGCAATTTTAAGAGTGCCCTAAGAGGCCTTCATGTCCCAATATCCCTGTCATCAAAAAATATATTAAAAGTAATGCAAATTCAATTCGCATTCAATGGAAAAATCAGACAAAAGAAACTATTTAATTAAAACTTTTCAACATTGGCTTTTAGAGTTCTTCTTATCAATCTCAAATAATGCTTTCTTTCTAAACCTCAAGCCCAAAATAATATTCAGTTTGTTTTAATTCAAAGTAAGGATATAAAAAAAATATTTATGCAAAAATCTCAGAATATTATAAAAAATTCAAAATATATGTAATGAAAGTGCTTCGATTACTTTTTCTTCGTTCAAAACTAGAAGTCACAATTTGATAATATCGGGTTTGACTAAAATGGTCAATGGGGGAAAAAAATATTCCTACTATTAAGTTTATGTTGTGACATTGTAAGACTGAGCTCCACAAGTCCAGATCAAAATCATTTAAGGACATCAAAAATTATAAAAAATGAAAAATTATAAAACAACACAAGTAACAATATAGACACTGAAAACTTCAAACATAATCATTGATCAACAATCAATCTCATAATCGAATCAAACATAATGTTTATACTCAATGGCAACATAAATTAAATGATATTTCAATAGGCAAGAAAGTGCGAGGGTGTTTTAATATAAATAGCTTCTTATACCTCGTTTGCTAGGGTTGATGTCTTATTCAAGGAACTTTAAAATAGCTTAGAAAAGAAATGTAGAGCGAAAAAGACGCAATTTATTTCGATTTCAGAAAAAACTATCAATTATATTCAAGTACACAAATGTAAAATAAATAATTTGTAGACAAATCTCGAGGAACTTACAAGGCAAGCAATAACCGCATTCAATTAAAATAATGCTGTTTCTTTTTCAATAATTTAAAACAACTTGTATTTAGCCCTTCACTGACAAAAGAAAGAAAATAACACTTTCTTGAAAAGTAGTCGGAGATTGCTTTAAAAAAAAATTGAGGAATGGAAATATAATTAAACAGTATATTCTACCCCACCCCCTTTCTCATAATCACAAACTGCATTGCTAGGAACAAAACTAATTACAAATATAAAACAGAAGTACTACAGAAGAAAGCATGCTTTCCTATTTACAAAAGCTTTCACTTTCCTATTTCTGTCGTGTTAAAGTAAATTCAACATATCTCACCTTTTTGTGCTTTAACCTAATCTTCCTTTAAGAGAGGCTTTTAGACGATCTACTTCTCCCGTCTTTTAAGTAAACGCGTTTGATACTCGATTAACACATTTTATTTCAAAAAAGATAAAGCTGGTAAAAGTTTATCAAAGTAAAGCATTTTTGAAAAATTAACTTCATTTTTCTGAACTATATGATAACAAAAATTTTAATAAATCAACCTCCATAAAATTACATAGAAAACGAGAAAAATGAAAGGAGCTTCTGACAAAGTTAAGCGCAGTTTAAGAGGATATTATTATTTTCTCTGTCCAGGAAATAAATGGTTAATAAGTAGTTCTTATCCAGTAAAAATAAAACTAGTTATCTTAAATATGAATCAGTAATTTAATTAAATTAGAAGCTTTAATAATTGAAAAACGCATATATCCAACGAGAAAAATAGGTCAGCAAATTGTTTTTTTCCCATAAAATGAACATTTTACACTTTAAAAGAATGGTTCAAATTGCTTAACCTCAAATATATTAACCATTTTACACTTTAACTAAAAGAAATTAACAAATGTTTCCAAATTCCTACAAGCTTTAAAAGAATAAATAAACAAAAAAATAAGTATATAATATAAAAAAATTTATGAATAAAATTCTTTAGAAGACTTTTAACATACAAAAAGTAAACACGGTAAATCAAACGCTTAAAAAAAATATTTAAGAATATTTCATTTCTTAATCTTCAAAAATGAAAAAAAAAAAATTCGTCCATTAAAATTATCTAAACCTTAATTTTCTAAAATTCGTACTTATGTAATATTTTATATAATTTTAATTAACTAAAAATACATTTCTGAATCAATTTTTTTCTCTTTATAAATTATTGATGTAAGGAATAGGGAGATTCTTAAATCCAAAATTATCTAGAGAAAACCTTCGTAATTCTTTAAACAAATTTTTTTTTTTGAATACTATAATAAAAGTACAGATTTCCACGCATTTAAAAAAAATTTAAAGTGTTATGCATTTAACGTTTCATTTGTCAACAAATATATCACAAATTAATGTGTTGAAAACACATTAATTTGTCACATAAAAACAGTAAAGAGTTAAATACAAAAAAAAACATGTTTTTAAAATGCATTGTTATCCTACTTAAAAACTATAACAATCATAACAATAGCGTAAAACAATTAAATAAAATGTAAATTAAATTTCTTACTCCACAAATCTAAAAATCTTCTAAAAACTTCACATTAAAAAGTCGAAAATCAAGACAGGAAACTCAGGAATATTTAAATCAAGAAACACAGGCGCTCACATAAAGTATCAGTAAACTGCACTCTCTGAAGCCAAAAACGAAAATGGTTCAGATTATTGAACACCAATGATTGGTCCAAGGGTTGCCGACGCGCATGCGCGAAGAGATTCAGTTCCAGAATTGTCCTTTATTGCCCTTGCCCTCTAGCGAAAAGAGAACTTAACTTACCTCCTCACATAAAAGTTTCTTCACAAAAAAACATAACCATAAAAAAATAAATAATAATTTTTCTTCCAGATCTATTTAGTAAAACTATTATGTTTTTTTGTTATATTTCAATTGAAATGAAAAATTATAATATACTGTGCGATTTTTAGTATTCATTTTTCTAGGGGAAAAAAATGCCATTGATCCAAACAGACCATAATTTTTATCAAAATTTGTGAGAAACTTTTTAGAACTTTATTAACAATAAATATTTTTAAAAGGAAAAAATTAGTTTTCCTTTGTTGCACATTTTGATCAAAAATTTAGTTTTTTTTTTTTAAGCTTCAACCTTATCTCATAATAAATAGCTACATTTCTCCTTCTACTCGAACGATATTATACTGATATTTCCAATATTTTGCACGAAAATAAACAATAAAATAATTATTAACTCGCTAAAGCATTATACTTAGCATTTCAATAATTTATGGTTATGAAATGCAGCATGGGGCTCAGGTGACTTTTCTGCGTTAAAGGTAAAATTTTCAAAACCAGGCTAACTTCCAAATAAATAATTTTTAAAATTTTCGCTTACTTGCAGTTATTTAGATCTAAGAGAAGCAATTTTTCCTCATTCCTTAATTTACAAAATCATTTGATCAATCAATTGACACATTTTTGAATATGAATAAAAAAAAAGAATTTCTTTTCAATGTACTTTTTTTGTATGTTATGTTTCAATAGAAATGCAATTCCAATAATCTAATAGACTTTTTAGTAGCTATTAGACTGTTTTTAATAATTAAAATATATCAAAATATATTTTCGTTTGTAATTAAAGAGTAAGAAATATATATATATATATAAAAGAGACACCGGTGTTCCATCTGCTTCAAAGGAATAAAAACTTTTAAAATGCTTTTTTTTTTCTGTAGAAAAAGTAGGTTGCCTTTAGTTTGAATGGTCAGTACAGATAAAAGGAAGAGAATATTTGTTTTGCTACGTAGGAAATTTTTAAAAATATTCATAAAATATATTTTAGATAATTCTTAGTTGGTTGCAAACCGATCACTATGATTGATTGACGGAGTTTTCTTCAACTAAATGGAATTGTTTTATTTGCTTTCTGTTTTAAAATCTCAAGATTCAAAAATGCGATTAAAAAAAATATGGGAATGATCTAAAAAAACTCAATAAGTATTTATGAGTTGAACAAAGAGTTACTAGAGTTATCAAAAAATTACTATTATTTTTTTACTTTTTGTTTAAACCGTTTTGTTCAATCATAAGTTTTCATTGTCAAGTACATTATGCTATACTTGAAGTAATATTATTTTTAATATGCGTTAAAATAAAATAGAATTAGAAGCCACTTATTTTTCATGTCTTGTAAATACGAATAATATATAATGATCCTTTTAGATCATTTTAAATAAAATTTACGTATGCATAATGATAATTTTAAATTACTTAGAAAATTTACTTGCAATAAAGTTAAACGTGTCTGTTTTATGAATTTTATTGTTGCTAAGTGCCAAATTAGGATGTTTGTATAACACTAAAACAGCATTTTTAAACAAACTGAAATGTAATCCGAAATTTGAACATGCCGGAACAGTTTCATAAAAATACATGCGCACGCTTATGTCTTTATATGAAAATCAGGCCTACTTGTCAAGATACTTAAAAATGTAAAATTGTTAATTAGATCAGCAAATTAAATTTGCGTACGAAAATTAATATTATGTGCATATATTCTAATCCAAATTAATAAAAAAATTCTATCTTTTTTTATTTTTTAATGTAAGCAACCTTAATTTTATTTGGAGTATAAACTTGAATTAGTCAATAATAATAAAAGTCATGCAAATCTTAAACAATCAATCATCTCTGATGTTAAATAATCTAAAAGGTTGCTACTATCGATGGAATCAGTGTCATTCATTCAATGGTTTACAAAAGCATTAAAATGTAGAATATGTTATTGTTATACTATATAGTGTACCTATTGTTATTGC